ATAAAAAAAGAAAAAAAAGTAAAATTAAAAAAGAAAATTAAAAAGAAGAAAAGAAAAGAGATAAACTGATGCAAACTCAAGTTACCAAAAATTGAGTTTATTCTGGGGTAGCAGAGATATTGCAATTCAGGACTTGCAGGCTGCAGTGAGCTACAGGTGAGTCCATTGAAGGTTTAGGCTAGGTTGCATTCATGGGCAAGGTATGCAAAAGGGGAGAGTCCAATAAGGAACTACACAGAGTTCACCGTCTCAAAGATGAGGAGAGATTCACTGGTCAGAAGTTAAGTTTCAATCTTTTGTAAACCAGGCATTTATGGGAAATCAGTCTCTCAGTCTTTAAGTTTCATTTTCCTGAGGGCACATGTACGAGATTCTCTATTTGATATCCTTCAGTTCCATTTTGGATTAAAATCCTTTTATCCATATCAAGCTGGAGGGACATGTGGGGGTAGCCAAGAGAGGATGTACAGCAGACATTTGAACACATCAGTTTACAGCTCAGGAGGAAAATATAAAATTGGGTCATCACACTATAGGAAGTAGGCAGTACTTAAAAAGTAGGAAAGTGATAAACTTCCTGAAAGTGAATTATACAGAATGATATAAAGCAGCAGGTCCAGAATAGAACCCTGGAACACCAGTAAGAAATAGGCAGAGGGGAAATAAAACTTATAAAGGAAACAAAAAAGGAAAGAACTGGAGGAAACCCAGGAAAGTGGCCAAACAGCTAGTATTAACTGACCATCAAATCTAGGTTCCTATATCAGTCTCTTCATATGCATTGCTTCCTTTAACCCCACCAATAACTCTAAAAGATAATCTTTTTATTACTGCTTTTTAGATAAGGAAACTGAGGCTTAGAGAAATAGGTACTGCACAATAGTTAAGAGAATGGATATATAACCAGATTGCCAGGGTTCAAACCCTGGCTGTACTAGCTATGTGTTTCAACTTCTTATTCTTTAAACAGGGGTTAACAGTTCTGGCCTAATAGGGTTGTCATAAGAAATAATTACTACCATGTTAAGTGCTCAGAATGATGCCTGGCCTAAAAAAGATCAGTAAATGCCAGCATAGAGAATTTCAGAGAAACACAATAGTGTCAAATGATAACCTTGCATAATAAACAATTAGATTTAAGATATACCATATCCCCCATGCTGTTAACCATGATAACTGAGATTGAACTGAATATATTTGTGTGTGTGTGTGTATACGGGGGGCCACAGGTAGACTAGATACTTCTAAAGAAAATCCACAGAAATATTACCCACCAAAGTCACCAAACAGAAAGATGCTTTAACATACTAATAATTCTTTAAATTTCCACTGATAACCAGCGGCTGAAACAAGATTAAGCCAGAATGAGGCTTCCTGACACTGAAAAGCTTATAATCATGTCAACATACCTCCCATAAAAAAGGCAGTATTTTATAAACATCAACAAATCAATAAAGACATTTTCTTTTAAATTTTAAGGTACAGGCTCACTATTTATTACTCCAAATTAGGTGAATTTCTAAAAGGGATCTGTTGAATAGAAATCAAAACAGTGGTAAAAACCCTCAAACCCATAAACATAAATTTGTATTTGTGTAAAGATTCAGTAGGACAGAACAGCTCTCTTAACCATTTTATGCCATATCACAGGAAGATCAGAATCTAGTTAAGTTCTAAACTCATTTCCTTTCCTCTGAACAGTGAAAGATCCTGATATCAGAGAAATAACCAACAAAAGGCATAATTCTTGAATCATCCTGCAAAAGCAGATAGTAAGAGAAAAAAAATTCACACTTACTGTATAGATCTGATATGAAGGATAAAAAGGACTGGAAATAATGTACTGTCAATTTTAACTTTACTAAACATGTGAAAATGTTTAGCTCGGCCTTAAGCTATCAAATTCTCTTTAATACTTGCCTTCCTTGCTCTAGCATTGATTACTACTGCCATCGAGCAACATGTGCAAAAATTAGAGAAACACAGAAAAAGTCATTCTGGACTTAACTACAAAGTCTCTATAAACAGAATAAATCTCCCCTGCTACCCATGATAACTGAGACTGAATTTTTCTTAGTTGTTCTTTCCCTGTCTTGCTCTGGCAATATAAATTATTTTCTCTATGTGAACTCCTAGCTTTTACCCTCAACCCTGAGCACTCTTCAAAATTTCAAACACATGTCTAATGGCTGCCTAGACCTCCTCCTCTGAACATGCTACCAAAACTTCAAATTAAATACACTTAAAATATAACTCAAACATACATTCTTCATCTCTGTTAACTGTACAATCTTCTCAGTCACTAAGGCTCTAAATCTCAGAATCATCTTTGATTAAAGGGAAACATAGGACAAGATTCAACTAGCTAATAAAGCCTATCTTGAAAATCACTTTTCACATCCATCTCCTCACTGTCTGTCCTGCCACTATCCTCCTCATTTTACATTACCTCTCACTGCAACTGCAATAACTCCTGTGTCCCAGATACAGAGCATGATAGGAAACACTCAATTTAACATCTAACTGATTCCTGGACAAAGATGGCAAGAATGGGATAATTTCTTACTTTCCACAGGAGAAATATCATGTAAGAGTTTTGTTCTTAGAAATCAATTTTCTATTGTAAAAACTACTGACATTCAGTTTATCAGAAATAAAAGCAAATATATGATTTTACAAACATTACTTAAGCATATAAAACTAAATACTTAATTTTTATAAAGTATCATATACATTCTTTTGTTGTTTCTGCATGGGCTGCAGACCTTTGGACATGTGAATTATGTATTATATTTTATGACAACCTCAGACTCATATTTTAATGGAGAAGATATTTTTCCCACAATACAAATGTAAAGAGGGTTGCTACTCTCTCCAAGAATCATGTATCATTTTCTTGAGTTATCTAGGTCCTACCCATGCTTCAAGGTCTAGCTCAGATTCTACCAATACTACAAAATCTTTTTGTTACTTGAGTAACAGTACTACTGTTATTCATAGAGCAATCATATATTAAATATATTAAAATGTCAGTTATCTCTAGTTATGTTTTACATATTCATATTGTCTTCTCCCCAGTGTAAAGTATAAACTTCTTAAGGTCAGGAATCGTGTTTCCCAATTTTCTAATAGCAGTCCTTTAACAGCCTGAGACTAACTCCACAGCCTACCTCATGAAATCCAACTTCCCATGAGAAGAGTGTAAAAATACAAATACACACAATAGAGGAAGAAAAAGAGGCAAAGATAAGGAACTGCCCATAGATGTAAAACAATGACAAAGACAGGAAACACACATACACAGACCAAGCCTTAGAAGGAGCTGCACCTTCTCTGAAGAAATCAAATAGTAATAATATTATCAATATTGATAAAACACTCATAACCACAGTTTGAGGTCAATTCATTCAACCTCCTAATATCACAAAAAGCATCATGAAGGCATAACTAAGGAAGCCGAGGGAAGGTCTAGGATTTGGGAACATCACCTCACTGTAGTCTTACACAGTTCACTATATGCAGACAGTATTCAACAAACACCTACTGGTTTGAATGTAATTCAATAACTAGTCCTACATACCCAAATTCTGAACAGATATGTTCAAAATTGCAACTCTTCTTTTTACAAAATACTGTACAGGATCAAACAAACTCAAAATTCCAGTATAACACACTAAATACTATGTGCTTTGCTTATATGATATAAACATGTTTTTAACGCCAAAAGATACATCAAATTTAATCTTTCAAGATTTTTAAAAATAACCCAATGATCCATAAACTGTATCCTTCCTATTTTTAGAATGGATCAGGGTATTCGTGTGATTTTCAAACTCCTTTCTTAGGTCCTAAGAAATAACTTCTATTTGACTTTACAATCTCAGGGTGAAAAAAGGAAAAGTTTGGAAGGAATAAAATAGCTGCACAAATACAATTCAGTGCTATATTAAATACAAATTAATGACAGGCTAATGAAATCACACGTTAAAAAAAAAAACTAACCGCATGAAAAATTTAGCCTCAATATCTATTCTTCCTTTTTTTCTTAAAAATAGATGCCTGTCATGCACGCTAACAACTTTAGGTCTGAGTAACACAGGGCTGAAGGATTCATGAAGAAAGGGAAGTGTCTGACAGAATTAGAACCAAGATAAAAATACTCTAACAAGCAGCCAAGAATTGGAAACACAATGGGAAATGAAGGAACGTGTCTCTAGGCTCGACCTAGTCATTATGAGTGAGCTGAAAGGTGTTAACAGTGGAAAAGGAGGCAGTTTTTGTGGGAAAAGATCTGCACTAGAAGTGAGGGAGCTTATTTTCGGGGGAGAATGTGATCTTCAGTAAATCACTGATCTAATCTGAATCTTGGACTCCTCACATTTCCACTTCTATTTACTGATTCTTTTGTATGCATCAGTGACGTTAACAGTAACTAAGGTGTACTGAACTCTTGCTATAATCCAGGCACTATTCTAAATGCTTTATATGCGTAATATATCATTTAACCCTCCAGGCAACCCTACAAAGTAGGTATATTTACTGCCCACATTTTGTAATTAGGAAGCAAAGCTTAGAAAAGTTAGGTAATATGCCAAACGTCACTTGGCTCAGAAATGCATAGCAGGGACTGCAACTCAAATACGGTTTCAGAGCCCAAACCCTTAAATATTTTCTTATACTGCTCTCAAATGATAGCAAGGACATATTTTACAAAGATTTTTAAATGGCCATTCAAATGTAAAGCAGTGTTACTATAATTTATTTGCACTAACCAAAATGAATTCTACAACCAAGCAACATACAGTTAAAATATTTAAAGCATATATATATGTGGAAAGTCTTAATGCTAATAAAGTTTTTCAAAGACAGTGGTAATATCAATGATGTGAAATCCATTTAGTTGCCTGGATGTGCATATTTCCAAGTATTTATAGGCTTTAAAAAAGACTTAAAATATCAGCTACAAGATATAATAAATTTAAAATATAAGCCATCATCTAGAGCTTTTCCTTTTCTAGCTATTATTTCACATTAACTCTTGATGAATGATACTGAATAAAATCACTGAGAAAGGATTATTTAATAGTATTTATCAGGCACTGTTCTAAGCACTTCACAACTATTTACTCATTTGCTTCTCATAACAACCTACAAAGTACTTACTGTACGTTTGTATTTTACAAATGGGGAAACTGAAGCATAAAACAGTTACAAGTAAACAGCCCAAGATCACAGAGCTAATAACTGGAACCAGTATTCAACTCACGTAGTTAGGTTTAAGAATCTGTACTCTTAACAACTAGCTCTGTTGCAGTTCAAGGAATGGTGAAATTCTTTTTTATTAAGCCAATAAAAAGTAATAATGATCAGGTGAATGTCCACAAAGAGAATGGAGCCATCACTTACCTCAGTATACATACTAATATAAAGGAACATATAAAAAAATACATTAACTGATATGGTAAACTAACCTAAACTATCAGGAAAAGAGTTTTAATTATAATGGCACACCGAACTTACTCTTTTGAAGAAGAGGTTTCTTTTAATTCTTATGAAATTTTATTGTTGGCAAGATAAAGCAATTAAATCTGGAGATTAATACTAATTAACACTAATATTAACCTAAAAGACTTAATAGACAGGATTTTTTTTTATTTTGTTGGGAAGAGGTAATTAGGCTTTTTTTTTTTTTAATGGAGGTACTGGGGACTGAATCAAGGACTTGTGGATTCTAAGCATGTACTCTACTAGAGCTATATATACCCTTCCCCCAACAGACAGGATTTGTATCATTTTTTGGTCCAGTCAATTTATGAAATGGCAAAAAACTTACAAAGAAGAATCACATGAACCAGTGTCCACAATGGAATTAATGCTAAATTTGAACACTTTTAAGGCACGATATTTAATACAACCTTAAATTTTGCTTAAGAATCACATTTTTCAAAAGACTATAGTATTTGTCATTTCACCTAACTCTTATAACTCTAAGAGTTAAGTAGAACATGTATATCATTATTTTACAAATAAGTAATCTAAAGCTCAGAAAAGTTAAATATTTCACATGGTCTGGATAGATCTTCTGACTCCAAGTGTTTCTTCTATCACATCATGCTGCCAAAATTTTAAGATTTATACTTTTTCAAGTTGCTTCATAATAATTAATGCTTAGCCCAAGAAAATGTGAAAAATACACAGTAGAAAAAATAATGAAGTTTTATGATCTTCTAAAATGTTGTTTTGCTAAAAATCTCATTATTGTATGATGTACAACTTATCCAGCTGAAACGAACCAGATAATTCAGCCAAAGTGAGCCCGGAACCCAAGAAAAATCTTCATTTAAGGTAAGTGAATACAATTTTAAATGTATAAATGTGGAATCATGTAACTACAATAATACTATTTTTCAGGAGTTAAAAAAAAATCACTTCTAACTATCATTCATCTCAATCACTTAAATGCTAGCTAGCTTTCCAGAGATGACCAGTTTCCAAGATAGTTTTTTAAATGTTCATTCCTCTATACTTATTTCACCTGAATTACTACCCAGCCAAAGAACACACAGGGTTGGTGAACCAAAGAGGAACACTTAACACATAAGTGAAATACCTTAGGTTTGGATTACTGGTATACTTAAAAAAAAAAATCAGTTAGATAATTAATTATCAAGAAGACACTCAATAAACTGGACCTTAAGTGTATAAAAGTAAAAATTTTGGTAGCCTATAACTGCATACTCCAGCCTCACAGCCCTAAGTTATGTGGTAGACCACCAACATCAGACTTGCAAAGATGGCCTAAAACTAGTTTTTTAATCGTTAGCTTGAGACCCATTTTGAGAGAATAAAAGCACTAAAGAAGCTGAAAAGGAACTTTTTTGGAAGAAGTTATCTGTGGAAAAATATCGTGGAATTTTTTTTTCCTCATTCCCACTTTACCACACGTGAGAGTAGTTCAAACTCAGACCTTGATCTGGTACTCTGTAGATTGCAGATACAAGATCCATAACTGGAAAAGTCCAAGACACTGGCTGGCTACCTACTCAAAGAGAATAAGGACAAATAGCTGCACTGCATTGTTAGTATCAGGCCAAAGAATGTGAGACTTATTCCTGTGGACCTGATGATGGCATAGGTACAGAGCCCACTTAAAAAGGACTTCATTCAATAGGGTCGTCTGGAGGCATATGGATGCAGACAGGCTTCATAAGGCGAAGAAACTGAAGGCTGAGGACAAGTCTTAAGAAGTTGGCTAGGAGGCAAGGTGGGTATATAGCTCAGTGATAGAGCACACACTTGACATGCATGAGATCCTGAGTTCAATCCTCAGTGCCTCCATCAGGGAATAATATAATAAGAAATTGGCTAGAGGTACTGCCCATTGAAGCAGACTGCTAACTCACCAGCCAGTCACTAGGGTAGATGACTAGTTAGGTGGAGCTATGTAACGAATTCTAGGCCTGTTGCATAGAAATGTTCCTCATGTGCTTCTCTCTGCCCTGTTCCATTCCATCTCCATGCAAAAAGCAGAGATGGTTACTAAATAGATCTTAATATGCGGAATGCCTACTTGGAGCTGGGATCTTTCAAATATTATCTTATTCCAATGCATCCATACTGGATGGTAACAAACCCAACTAATTAAATCCTGTCTACAGAGAATTATTAATTCCAGCCAGACATGAGAGCAACAGATGGTTGTCTTCTTCTGAAGTTATGATCAAAAACTGAAGTCATCAGAGTGACTATCTCATTGCTAGAAGGATTGGAGGATCAATAATGAGGGACTATCAATCCAGTTCTCCATGAAGTCTAGTGCATATTCCCACCTTAATAGCATATTCTAGGAACAACAGGACAGAGTCTTTATTTGGTTGCTTAAATGGCTTCCTTGTAATAAATCCCCATCATCTGAGGTCATGCTTCTTAAACTAGCGGACACATCAATGACTACAGTAAACTGGCAATTATAAAAAGCCACAAAATAACAGTCTGTTGCCATAGAACGGCAATGTTATAATGTGGCAATAATTCAAAACAGTATCAAACATAGGCATATTATAAAACTGAACGCAAAACTCACAAGAATTTTTAAGATAGATTAGAATTCAAAATTTCACTCTTCTCAGGGGTTAAGTCAGGCTTCATGTCCACATTATCACAGGAATATTTATTTACCTCTTCTGTTTTCCAGTGGAAAAGCTGAAGAAGCACCAACCCATGGTAATTTAGAAGGATCTTTTCACAGCAATCCAGAAGTCTTTTTTTTTTCCTTCTCTCTCTTTAGGATAGCCTACTAGACTTCAAGCTGCACTGGGATACGGATCTGTTTTATCCTTCTTTATCGTTTTTATGGCAAGCTAACTAATGCCCTCCAAAAACATACAAGATCTAATTCCTGGAGCCTGTGAATGTTTCCTCACATGACAAAGGGGATTTTGTAATTAAGTTAAGGGCCTTGAGAAGGAGAGATTATTCTGGATTATCTAGGTGGGACCTAAATGTAAACACAAGTGCCAGTAGAGGAAAGAATCTGAAAAGCCAAAATAGTCATATGTAGTTAGTATCAGTAATTTCTATTCATTATTTCATTTGATCCTCACAAGTCTAGGAAGTGGACTCTGGTATTGATTTCAATTCTGCAGTTGAGGAAGCTGCGGCCGAGAGGTTGACTTGCCCAGTCAAAGGTTAATAAATGACTCCTACTCCGATGTCTTTCTACTACATCATTTTACCTGGAGAACATCAATCCATTTACTTCTAGGTATATTGTATTAACTTTCAAAATAATTTCAAGTTAGGAAAGAAAACATGAGCAACCTTTTACTTTAATTTTATGTGCATGAAAATCGAATGCCAAGCTCAATTAAGTAGTCAGAGAGAAGCTGAAGAGAACACATGGACGAGTAATTTAACATATCTGAGTTTCTTCGCATGAAAATGAGAACAGTAACAGTACCTACCCCTTCAGACCTAGCAATGTGGATTAAATGAGATAATATACGTAGAGTGCTTACAAAGTAACTAGTCTCACAGTTGGTACTATATACTCGAGAACGTCCCTTCCCAAATGAAAACCTGCTTTCTAACTCCGAAAATTAACAAACCCAGGAGGTGGACAGGAAAGAATGCGAGGGGAGGGGAAAAGTAGGTCCTGGCTCCCCTTTCTTGAACACTTGAGGAACAGGTGCTTTGCTTTTACCGAAGAATGGCCCAGAGAAGTGCTCGGGCGGCTTCGGCGACACAAACATAACCCTTGGAAGCCGGGGTGGGGGGGGGCAGGGACAACACCGGTATGACTCAGGAGCTCCTACCAATGCACCAGAAGCCCGAACACGTGGCTCCCCCTTTTCACCTCCTCCCCATTTCCCTCGGCGCTCCTCGAGTTATAGGCTCAGTGACTCCGGCGTTCTAGACTCTACCCGCACTGTCGCCTCCTGTCAAGAAGACTGCCCATCCCGAGAATCTGCCGAATCCAGCCCTGAGAATTAGATGCCTCACCCGCAAGCCCACAACTGGCGCTGATGAGAAGCGGAGCTCAGCTTCGGCGCAGAGCGGACGACCGGAACTCCACTCTCCACCTCTCTCATTGGATAACGGCACAAAGAAGGATGCAGGGGATTGGTCAGTAGCAGGGAGGCGGGCCATAGCCCAGGGGAAGCGGAAGAGGTGAGTCGAAGGGGCGGGAAGAAGTGCCACGAGCTGGCCTCTCTCCGGATTGGACAAAAGCAACATGTCTGCGCCTGCGTAGACCCAGCTTCCGTTATAGAGCCGCACACCACCGCCTTTTACGTTACGTCAGCGGAAGTTTTTACGACTCACTGGTGATAATGATGGTTTGAGCCTCCTGGCTGCTTGGCCAATAAAGGGCAAGAATAAAGCGAGTCCCGCCTCTTCCTCGGGCGACTGGGTCTTTCCGTCGACACGGGGCAACGTAAGTTCCCTTCAGCGTTTAGACGCTAGAACTCCCACCGAGCCAGACTCGGGTGGAGAATTGCTAGAGGGTCCGGGAAGGTTCTGCGGCCGATAATCACTCAGTAGTTAGAATTTGACCCTGAAACACCCCCTTACGCTCAGAATGTCACTGTTGTATGACTTCACTGTTGGAACGCGGAGCACCCAGCCCTTTCACGCGCTCTTTGGTACGGCCGTATCGTTGGCTGAAAAGGTTATCAATTTGAAGATAGCCCCGCCTCGACCCCCAGGAAGCTCTGGGATTTGTAGTTACGGGCGCTCAGGTCCAATAGCTTTAAATGTGGTGGTTGTTGCTGCGTTCTTCCTTGTTAACACCTGCTGACGTCTGTGGTTTTGATGTGTTCCGTTGTGCTTTTTTATCCTTTCACTTAAAAGCACTTTTAAAGCCAAAGGACTCTTGGGAAAACTGGAAAGACTTCATGTATGTTTGTAAAGTGTTTCAAACATTTTACTGCTGTGAGTGGCTCTTGCTTGATATTCGTAATTAACGTACTAAGCGGATAGTTAAAAGTATTGGTTTTTGAAATTCTTGCTGTTACAACAAAAATGGTCTCTGATTTTCTTATTAGTGTCCACTCGAGAATATTTGATAATTGTTCTAAATTTAACAATTATATATACTGTTTTGTAGCAAATAGCAGTTTACATAAGTGAAGTGTTGGCATGACAGGAAGAACTGACTGCTGTCTTGACAGGAAAGTAGTGCTGTAGTTAAAATGTCAAGCGTGACCAATTTCAGGAAGCACACACATTGCATAGTATTCAAAGCCCATTTTCAGTCGTAATCTAAACATGTTGGTTTTAGGCAGAGTTTCCCTTTCCTTGCCTTTACTGAAATCATAATTCCTTTCACTTCTGTGAACACACTTAGTGATATTTCATCACTTTGTGTTTAGCGAAAGTAAAAAATCAGTCTATAAATACCAAAACTTTTCCCAGCAAGTGTTTTCATATTTAATATGTAATACAAACTTTCATTTGTGTAAGAAAAAACAGGGCTTGTTGCTGGACTGAAAATTAAGTACACTTTAGAGGATTCAAGCCAAGCAGAAACTGCTTTTATGACTGATGCTTGGAATAATTGCTTTTTTGTTTAAAAAGTCAAATTATAATTTATGTGCCTTTTTTCTAAGTGGTAAGAGAAGATTTCAGGTTTTATTTTAAGTGAAACATGGGAGACATAACTTTTTAAAAGTTCTCAATAAATAAAGAGCTAAATTGGGTGTAATCAGCACTCTATTTCTCCTTTTAATATTTTATATGATGTGCTAAATGAAATATATGGATACAAAAATCACCCTGAGACAGAAATGCAGATTTTTTAGTTTTAATGCTTTCCATTAGCTAGCATTTTGAAAGTATTTTCCTTTTGCCTCCTATTTTAAATGTGATCGATTTGGGATATTAGTTAAATTCATATGACTAAGAATAAAAACCATTAAAAACGGCAGGTATCAAGACTGCTTCTGTGGTTAGTAGTGTTCAGCAGAGTGATAAATAAGCTGAGTGACTGAATCCTGGATGCATTTGGCTGATCTGTATTAACTGTCCTAAGTGCTCACTCCTTTGGAGTCTTTTGGAAGCTCCCAAAGCATTCCATATTAAAAAGAAAAAACTTGAATAATTTTTGTTGCTGTTGAGATTTTAAAAGTAGAAGCTGAAACAGGCACCATTACTACCTTTTAAGATGTGAGCCCTGGAATCATCTTTGTACACTGTCAGTTGGGAAATAAATTTGAAGAATGACCTCAAATCATGATAAATGCAAGATGACTCTTGACATACAGGATAAGAATACTGCAACCCCTGTTTGTGTTTACTTTTTAATATCAACATTTTTCTTTTTATTTCTATGTTTTAAAAAATTGTGAATATGATATAACTCTAAACTTTTGAAATCTAACTGTATATATCAATGAATGGTAATAAATTTATTGAGAAGTATGTGATCAAAAAAGTCTGGAGGTGTTAAAGAAAAGAACTATTCATGACACTGTTAAAGACAGAAAGGCAGACTTTATTCAAGAGGGGCTTCTATGATAGCATTTTGTAATAGGGGAGAGATATTGGGCTCAACTCTGAATACAACAGGAAAAGTGGGAATTTATAGCCATAGAGTAGTGGGTAAGGAGCCAGAGAATGGAAAATTACTAAAAGGAAGCATCAGGGGTAAAGGGGATTATTGCTACATCACTCAACAGTATTCTTACTGAAAGTAGGTGGGCGTAATCAGACATCACCTCGGGGATAGTGAAGGACGAAAAATTCAATCAGAAATCGAGAAAAGGTGATTCTGGCTAAACTGCCTTAGCAGAATGCTTGCTACAGGATTCTTGGACATTACAAGGAAGGACACAGGAACTGAAGGTCGAGTCTAGTCGAAAGAGAACACATGTATATATAGGTATACCCCCCACATACGCTCACTCTTATATACACACACAAAAATTGTATTTGCTATTGTTAAAATACAAAATCTAAATTACATATAATACCACTTAGAAATACTCAGGCTCAACCACTGTATCATGGCCCATCCAGAGAAATAGAACCATTAAGAGATATGTAGTAAGAGATTTTTGCAAGGAATAGACTTAAACAGCTGGGGCTGGCTAGGGGACGAGTCTGAAATCTGTAGAGCAGGGTGTTAGGAAAGCCAGGCTGGAACTCTCAGGCATGAGCTGAAGTTGCAATCTACAGGCAGAATTTCTTTTGGGAACCTCAGTTCTGCTCTTCAGGCCTTTAACTGATAGAATCAGGCCTGCCCAGATTATCTAGGATAATCTTCTTTATTTAAAGTCTATTGAAGGGGTGTGGGTATAGCTCAGTAGTAGAGCGTGTGCTTAGCATGCACAAGGTTCTGGGTTCAATCCCCAGTACCACCAGTAAATGAATGAATGAATAAGTAAATAAGCAAACAAGCCTAATTATCTCCCTTCTCCAAGAAAAAAGAATTTTAAATCTGTTGATTATGAATGTTAATCAAATCTACAAAATATCTTCACAGCAACACACAGATCAAGAACTTCATATCATTATTTGAGAGTCAAGTTTCAGGCTTGGAAATCATTACGGAAAACCATGTTTGACACTGTCTTATAATTTGGAAAGTGGGTTAGTATAAGCATACAGGATGTACAAACCGATCTGTTTCCACTCTCAGGGAACATACCTCCAGAAGGAACAGTTCTACCTTCAAACGTCATTCCAGCCTACCTGTCTAACTCCCTGCCTCTTTTGGCTGTCTATTCTTTGAGATGTTGGCCTAACAGCCTACATTTGAAGCCTTTGGCTCCATTCCTTAGCACCAGGAATACTTTGCCCAAGTCGTCAGTTCCAGAGGTTTCTCAGTAAATAAGGCTAACCACTTGACATACATGCCTCTACTATATAAGGAATATTTCCTCATAAATTACCAGCTCTGGGCTGTTGAAAATGTCAACAACAATGCCCTTGAAGCCAGAAGGTGGAGTGGTGGCTAGAACCTCCTGTAACAGGTGCCAACTGGTGTATACCAGTCACCATGCCAAACTTTTTTTCAAGGTAGTGATTGTATTTTAACTCCTTCAGTGTTCAGATGGACTTTACTATTACCCCTTTTAGTTTAGACAGAAAGTTGGGGGAGAGGCAGAGGTGGTACTGAAACTGATAATTATGTTAATCAAAAATACCACCTACCTTCAGAAAACCCCTTCACAGGGCTGCTCAAAAGTGGTGAATTGACTGGTTTAAGCTGTTTGTTCTCTTCCTGCCACTTTGAAGTTTAAAAGAATGAACAAATAGTCAAATAGCTCACTAAATTGAGTTAAGAGGAGAAGAAGAAAGACCAGAATATTTAACAAACTAGTCTCTAGGTCTTCTATTTAATTAAATATTAGGACCATGGTTTATTTTAAACAGAGAAGTATGGTTAGGACCAAAAGGAGGAGCTTAGGATCTTAATAATTGCTAGGAAAATAAATTCCCTTCTTTCTTAAATAAGTTATGAAAGTACTGGTGAAAAAAATGTTATGAAAGTGCCTGTTTGCCCATGCGTGTGAAGTTGATCCAGGACACTTCCTCAAGATCTAGAAGGACATAGCTATTGAATTGCTAAGGTGAACACTACTAGACATTTACACTTTCTTTTTTTGTAATTCTGTTTTCCAGGTTATTACTTTTAAAAACTGTTCAGTGTGGAAAATTTCCATCGTATACAGAAGTAGAAACAAAATATCATGGACCCTTATGTATATGACCCAACTTCAACTGATGGCTAAACTTACATATATCTGTGTTCTCACCCACATTCCCACCATGTCTATCAGATTATTATAAGCAAATTCCAGACATCATTTCACTTGTAAATGTTGTTCTTTGTATCTCTAAATGATAAGGACTTTTTCTCTGAAACATAACTACAATAGGCAGATATTTTAATAAGGACTGCTGCTCAAAACTAGGTATTTGATTTTAAGCAAGTTATTTAACCTCTCTAAACTCAAATTACTCACTAGGTGACAATATATCCCTTTCAGGGGTTTTATGAAGATTAACATAATGTAAATAAAACACCCAGCACAGTGCTTGACACAATGTGGACATTCAGAGACTATTGGTTCAGGTTCCAATATTTGGTCCACTTGCGCCACTTGCTCTAAGAGATTATAGGAAGGATGACAGAAAAGGATGTTTGCTGAGCCCTTTAGTAGTTGAAAATCATTAGAAAAAAAATTTAAATAATAGCACTAGGAGTGTACAACAGCCAGGAGGTAGAACCAAAGAAGTTTAAATGAAGTAGATCAAAGTTACAGGCTGAGTGGAGCCCAGTAATAAAAAGACAGTTGGTATGAACTTAGCTGAAATACACACTGTTTGACTAATCTTATAGTCTTAGGATTTTTCTTTCTTTTTTTTTTTTGTGATCTCCAACCGATGAATGTGATGGTAAATACAAAACTGTCTGAGCTGTAAAAGGAA